AAGAGAGACCTATGTCAAACAAGGTGGAGGGTGAGGGTGGACATCTGACTCATTCATGTGTGTTCTATTTATTTATGTCACACACACACACACATCCCCCAAAAGAGAGAAGGAAGGAAAGGAAAAGAGGCAAGGGGAGGGCTGCCAGCATCCTTGCCTTGCTCTGACGATCGGAGTTGCTGGACCGGTCAGTCGCGCCGGACTCCCAGTCTGGGCAACGTTACTGTCATCTGGTCATGTGGAAGCCAAAGACAGGTAGTGGGGTTGCCTAGCACACCCAAGGCCCTTGGCGGCTTGCTAGAATAAATACCCTCAATGATGTAACTTGGTTTTCCTCAGCCTGGGGCTCCTCAGCTGGGTTTGTGAGCTGCCTGGGTCTCCAGGCCAACCTGCAAGTGACAGGCTCAGGCCAGTGTATCCGGGCATCCTTATTTGCCCTGGGCAAAGTTCTTAAGAACAGCAAGATTGTGGGAGCAGGGATTGCTTCTGGGGCTTCAAGAGAGAGGAAAGATGTGAGGATAGGCAGGGAAAGCAGGTCCAAGAGGGATTCAGGAGCTGGGCTGTGTGCGGGGTCGCCAGCAGCGCTAGGGCTGCGAATGTCCCCCACCCCACCCCCGCTTCAGTCCCCTAAAGGTGTCCCCAGGGCCCTCTCCCATCTGCACTGTGGTCACAGAGCCTGGGCCAGCACTTCCCCCAGTCTGGAGAACGCAGAGACAGAGTCGTTAAGGACACCTGCCTCCCCTCCTCCCACTCCCAGGCGGGAAGCCACCGCAGCTGCACCTGGGCACAGCATGGCCTGGGAACACGTGGAACCCACAGCACCCAAGGCTGCCCTTGGGTCCCTCCCTGCACAGAGCCAGGAGAGGGCAGGCAAGTGGCCATTAAAACTGCCCTTGAGGCACAATGACAAAGGTGGGGTGAGGCTGGCGCAAGAATAAAGGCGAGGAAGAAATAAAGCCACACGCAGAAGAGACATCAAACTGTAATAAGGAGCCTCAAGGGGCAGGAAGGGCTATTCAGCAAGTAATTTGGGGTAATTAATTAGTTCTTTGGAAAACCTGTGTACTTAACACACCTCAAAATGAGCTCCCTCCGGGGAGAGAAGGCGGAGTGGGTGCGATTGCACTAAGCCCTCTCCAATAAAAACCATCGTTTTCCTTTCCTTCTTTGAGGCTGGGCAGTCATGGCTTGCCTGGAGCCCTCTGACCTACTGAGGTAGCACGACCTCGCCTGTGCTCAGCTCCAGTAGAGAGCAGAACTGAGAAGAAATACATTCTCTAGCAGGGGCGGGCTTTCTAGGCTTAAAATCCACTTACTGGTCCCTAAAAAACAACAAAAAACTGTAGGTTTGAAAAAAGAGGGAAGGCATCAGCATTCTGGAGGTGGTGGCTCGTGAGTCAGAGTTCAAGGCTGGCCTGGGCTACATGACAGCCTTCTTTGCTGTCTTTCTTTTTTTTTTTTTTTTTTTTAAAAAAAATAATGGATAGAGGGTTTCTCTGTGTGGCCCTGGCTGTACTAGAACTCACTTCGTAGACAAGGCTGGCCTCCAACTCACAGAGAGCCACCTGCCTCTGCCGGAGTTTAAAGGGGTGCCGCCACTCCCTTTCTAAATAATCAAGGCCTTTATTCTCCATGTTACCAAACACTAGATATATGCAACAAAACTGTTGTAACAGGGTGCCAGACCTCAGGTCTCCAGACTGACTCCATGTTGGAAGTGCCATGGTAAAGCTCAGCATGTAGACAGCACCTGCCAAAATGAAAACAAAGACCTAACCTGTTCAAGTCCATAGTTCTGAAAAAGTCTCAAAATGTACTGACTTTGCTTCTTGACTTCTGCAGTTCTGGCCAACTGTTCCCGTCAACTGAAGTGTGTCAGCCCAGGACATGGTTTTTGTGCTGAGAAGCTCCCCTGAGAAAGGCTCACCATTACACCGGGATCCCGAACACCCGGTATAGTTGCTGGTCAGCTAATAAAGATTTTTTTTCTTTTTAATTTTTTTTCCCTCATCTTACATACCAACCATAGTTCCCCCTCCTTCCCCTCCTCCCTTTACCCCCATATCTCCCTCCCAACCCCCCAACCATTCCTTAGAAAGGGTAAGGCCTCCCATGGGGAGTCAACAAAGTCTGGCAAATCTAGTTGAGGCAGGACCAAGTTCCTCCTTCCTGCATCAAGGCTGAGCAGGGCATCCCACCATAGGGATGGGCTGTAACAAGCTAGCTCATGCACCAGGGACAGATCCTGGTCCCACTCCAGGTGCCCCACTGACAGACCGAGTCACACAACTGTCACCCACATGCAGAGGGCCCAGTTCGGTCCCATGCAGGCTCTCCAGCTGTGGGTCCAGAGTCCTTGAGCTCCCACTAGCTCCTGTCAGCTGTCTCTGCAGGTTTCCCCTTCATGATCTTTCATTTATTTATTTATTTATTTATTTATTTTTGGTTTTTAGAGACAGGGTTTCTCTATGTAACAGTCCTAGCTGTCCTGGAATTCACTTTTTAGACCAGGTTGGCCTTGAACTTACAGAGATCTGCCTGCCTCTGCCTCCCTGAGTGCTGGAATTAAAGGCCCCCTTGCTCGTATTGCTCCTCCCTCTCCTCTTCCTGACCCCAGGAGCTTGGGCCCATTGCTTAGCCTTGGATCTCTGCATCTGCTTCCATCAGTTACTGGATGAAGGTTCTATGATGACAACTAAGGTAGTCACCAATCTGATTACAGGAAAAGGCCAGTTCAGACACCCTCTCCACTATTGCTAGGAGTCATCCATGTGGATTCCTGGAAATTTCCTTAGGGCTGGAGAGATGGCTCAGTTGTTAAAGGCTAGGCTTACAACCAAAAATAAAGACTTTCTATTGGCTCAAACCCATGGTGAGCAGTCTTCTCTGGTGAATACCCCATCACACTGTAATTAGATACCTCATATCCAACCCTTTAGGTGTGCTATCTAGACCTAGGAAATGGGCTGGGCATGGTTGCAAGGGGGCCTGCAATCCCAGCACTTGGGTGGTTTAAAGCAAGAGGATGGAGGGTGGGGTCCATCTTGGGCAATACCTTGAGATCCTGTCTCAAAACCATAAAAGAAAAAAAAAAAAAAGGCTAGAGAGATGGTTTGGTGGCTAAGAGCATTTGCTACTCCTCTGGAGGACCAGAATTTGTTTTTGTTTGCTGGTTTTTTGAGACCTCAGTCTGGTCTCAGATTCCTCTTTGTAAATGAGGATGACCTTGAACTGAAGCTTCTGCCTCTACTTCAGAGCTGTGATTTCCTGCACTCCCCCTTACCTGGCGTGTGCAGGCTGGGGTGGAACCCAGGACTTCACGGATGACAAGCAAGTGCTTTCCCCGCCTCCTGCTCAGACTATTTGAGGCCATGGGGTGCCGGGCAACACAGCAAGTCCCCATGTCAAAAGTAACTACAGCTAGGCATGGGGTGCAGAGATTTAAACCCAGCACTCGGCAGGCAGACGCAGGCAGATCTCTGTGAGTTCGAGGCCAGCCTGGTCTAAAAGAGCTAGTTCCAGGATAGGCTCCAAAGCTACAGAGAAACTCTGTCTCAAAATAAATAAATAAATAAATAAAATAAATAAATAAATAAATAAATAAATAAATAAATAAATAAAAAAGCACTTCAGGCCAGGCAAGGCTAAACAGTGAAACCCTGTCTCTGCCCTCAACCTTGGCCAGAGACTCAGAACAGGTCCCGAAGAGTGACTTGTTGAATGCTCAGCTCCAAATGGAACATCTACCTCATTCCCATAACCCCCAACCTGCCGCCCACCCCCTACCTCGCCACCAGGTTCACGGAACATCACGGAAGAAAAAGAACATGAGAGACAGAACATGGGGGGATCAGAGGACCTGTGAACATGAGAGCCGGAGCCCCGGGAGGAGAGAACACAGGAGTCAGAGCCCGGGGAGGAATGCTGAGGGAGTCGCTGTCTTCTAGACATAAGACGGCCTTGCACTCACAGACTCACTATAGCCGTGCCTACTGCACACGGTTCCGACAAGATTAGTCAACGTTCCTTCCCCCAAGCACTGCTACCTGGACTCTGGGCCCCCATAAAAGTTATAAAGATTATAGGAGGACAGCTTGGGGGGATGTGCAGGAGGGTGGAAAGGGGGAATTCGGGGTGGACTCATGAATAAAGTTGCCAAAGAATAAGTAAATACATTAAGGAAGTAACACAGCACTTGGGAGATAGAGACAGGAGGACCATCCTTGGTCTCATGGCCAACTCGAGGCCATCTGGATTACATGAGACCCTGCCTCAAAAGAACAAAACGGGGACTGGGGAGATGATTCAGCAATTAAGAACACATATTGCTCTCACAGAGGACCTGAACGTCAGGTGACTCACAGCCTCTGTAACTCCAGCTCCAGGGATCATACGCACAATTAAAAACAGTGTGTGTGTGTGTGTGTGTGTGTGTGTGTGTGTGTGTGTGTGTGCGCGCGCGCGCGCATGCACCGTGCATGTTTGAATCAGGAGCTCTCTATGTAGCCTTGGCTGTCCTGGAGCTCACTTTGCACTCAAAGTCACAGAGATCTATCTACCTGCCTCTATCTCTCTTGGGTTTCAGGCACATACATTGCACATTGACATATACTGGCAAAACACCCACACACATAAAGTAGAAAATAATAATAAATAAAATAAAAAGTTCAACCTTGGCTTTGCCAGCTGTGACCTTGAGCAGAGCACTCAATCTGAGGCTCAGTTGCCTCCTCTGGGAACTGAAGCAGCTGAAGGTTGACATGGAGCTGTTCTGTGTGGAGATCCCGCCATCTCCCTAGGGTGGGCACCCAGCTCCGGAGATGGGAGTGGCATCTGAGTTCCCTGACACCCCTCCTCTCTAGAGAGGCCTGGCAACTAGAGGGTAGGGAGCCGTGGCAGAGCAGCTGAGGCACAGCTGGCCCTGTGGGAGGGAAGTCTAGGCAGCCTCCTCCCCCAGCCCACACCTCAGGGCTGCAGCTGGGCCTGTGGCCTGGGAGGGAGTCTAGGCAGCCTCCTCCCCAAGCCCACACCTCAGGACTGCAGCTGAGTCAGGCCTCTTCTTGAGTGGGTCATGGCTAGGATATGGTTGCTGCTTTTCCTGGTCCTCAGGGGTCAGACCCTGCCCACAGGTAAGTCCCTCTTGCCTCCCTCTTTGGCTGCCACTGGTCCCATCCCCTGGGACCAGTTGAGCCTCTACAGTGATGATGGGATCCATGGCCACCTGGTTCTGAGACTTCTTGTCCTCCAGATGGAGTCAGTAGGGCCCGTTGTCCCTCTTGGAAGCATCCCCAGCCTGGTGGTGTAGGCCTGTAGCCCCGCTAGTCAGAAGGCTGAGACGGGAGAACCCAAGTTCAAGGGTCAAAAGAGGACTGTGGTTATCGCTCAGTGGAAGAGCATTTGCCTTGCTGTCCTGCATGAGGGCTGAGCTCAGTCCCAGAACTGAATCATAAAAGAGAAAAAGATCAAGCTGGATGGGAACCCATGGAAGCTGGAGATTCATGGAGCCAGGGCCGTGTTGTGTGATAGAGGGTGACACACTGTGGACAATACTGTGAGCTCCTAGGCTGTCCTTCCTGGCCTCACAGCACCCTCTTCCAACAAGGACAAGGGTGTCTCAAGTTCACTTCCAGCCCACGTGAGGCCCCAAGGCGTCATTGACTTGCCAAGCATTTAGCTCCAGCTATCCAAGGAGCAAGGCCAGAGAATTCCAGTCCTTCTGTCATGGACGTACATGGTGGGGGAAGGCCTTGGACTTTTGAGTCAGGGGGTCTACTTGATCTAAATTCATTCTAGTGTGTCATGGGGACTTGAGAGAAGGTGTAGCGGAAGGCCTGAGCTCTGGGAAGGAAACACTTGGGGGTAAGAATGAAAAATCTGGGGGACTTCATAGTGGAGGTGTAAGTTGGGTCAGCTCAGGAGGCTGAAGGGCTCCTGAAGGGCTCCTGGGGTTCACTCCTGGCTTCCTTTTATTCTTTTGTTTGCCAGGCTCTAGTAATATCAATATTAATATAAATAACAATTTCAAAACTTGCTTAGCAAAGCATTATATTATCTATATTCTTCACAAAGATTCAATTGGTCATTATATTGTCAGGACATTTGACTCTCAGTCAATTAAGGGGTTGAGACAGGGGCTAACCTCAGCTCTGTCTGAAGCCTTGTCCTAGGCTTGATCTCCTGGGTCAGAAGATAGAGACTTTCCAAGGCAAAGAAGATTATGAGATTCGTGGTGATTGAGGCTCAAGTCCAAAGCTGACTGGACATCTTGGTGTCCCTAGTCCAGTTATTTGGCCTCCTCACTTCCATGAGGCTCTCTGGCACCCTGGGCCATTTCTTTATCTTGGCCACACAGAGTTCATAATGTGAATTTATTTTCAGCTATTAACATTTGAAATCGTATTTATATTTTTTAAAAATCCTATTTAAAAATAACCTTCAATTCTATACTGAATGGGTCATCTTTACTGACAGTAATAAGGTGAGAGGAGAGGGCTCAGCGTGCAGAGGCACTCAGTGCCAGCCCGACAACCTGAGTGTGGACCCTGGGGCTCACACTGTGGAAGGGAAGCAAGTTGTAGTGGTCTGGTCCCCCACCTCTCTCTCTCTCTCTCTCTCTCTCTCTCTCTCTCTCTCTCTCTCTCTCTCACACACACACACACACACACACACACACACACACGAAATGTTTTTTAGAGAGAGAAAGAAGGACGGCAGCAGGGGCAGCAGCAGTGGTGGCGGTGGTGGCACACTCCTTTAATCCCAGCACTTGGGAGGCAGAGTAGGCAGATCAAGGCCAGCCTGGTCTGCAGAGTGAGTTCCAGGACAGCCAGAACTACAGAGAAACCCAGTCTCAATAAAACTAAAAATAAAAAGAAAAGGGGGGACTGGAAAGGTGACTGAGTAGTGAAGAGCACTGGCTGCTCTTCCAGAGGACCTGGGTTCGATTCCCAGCACCCATGTGGTGGCTCACAACCATCCTCGATCAGACCCCTGCGATTGCAAGGTATCTGATGCTTTCTCTTCTGACCTGGGAAAGCACAGCATGCACGCGGTGTACAGACATGCTTGCAGTCAAACCCTCATAAATAATAAAAATAAAATCTCAAAAAAAGAAAATCCCAAACAGAATAAGACTACATGCTGGGGAGTGTAACTCCATTGGTAGAGTTTAAGCCCCCTCGACTCATTGACGCTATGGCATAGCTGTGTGGATGCCTCCAATCCCAGTCCTCTGGAGGTGGAGGCAAGAGGATCCAGAGTTGGACGCCTCAAAATCAAACCAAAATGAAGTAAAAAATACCTGATTTAACCGGGCAGTGGTGGTGCACGCCTTTAATCCCAGCACACGGGAGGCAGGCACCAAAGCTACAGAGAAACCTTGTGTGTGTGTGTGGGGGGGAGATCTGATTCAAATCCGGTAAAATGTTAACCATTTATTTATTGGCTTATATTATTGCTAGTTCATTCCTGTCGATTGCTCGTTCATTCTTCCATCCCTCCATGGTGCTGGAACCAAACTCAGGGCTTCATGAGGTAAAGACAAGAACCCTACCTCTGGGTTTTATCTCTTCCTCCTTTTATTTTGGTTACATTAAGTGTTAGATTTCACATGTGCATGCGTGTGTGTGGCAGTCGGAGGACAGCTTTCGGGGGTCACTTTTTCCTCTTCTACCATGAGAGCTCCTAGGATTGAACTCAGCTTTGGCAATACGTCTTTACCTAGGGAGCCATCTTGTCAGCCTCCCTCCCCCACTTTAAACAATTTAGTTTAGATATCGGTCTCATATACAGCTCACTCACCCACACTTCTGCCTCAACCTCCCAAGTTCTGGGATTTCAGACGTGGGCAACTACAGCAGACTTAAAGAGTTGTCCCAGAACGGAAGTTCCAAGTATACTGAAGCTTCCTCTGCTCTCCCTCCGGGTCCTTCCTCCCCAGAGGCACAGCTCTCTTCAGTCAGCACAGTTTGGGATTATAAGCAGTTGTTTACGACACTCCTGCCCTTCCCACAGGACGGAGTTCCTCAAAAGCCCTGGCAATGATTTCCTCAATGTTATATACACAGCACCCCGCATAGGAAAGGGCTCAGAAAGGATAAATGGGTAGACAGTGGGCAGAACGGTAGAGGATGGATGGATGGATGGATGGATGGATATGGATGGATGGGTGGGTGGATGGATGGATGGATGGGTGGGTGGATGGATGGATGGATGTGGATGGATGGATGGGTGGATGGATGGATGGATGGGTGGATGGGTGGTGGGTGGGTGGATGGATGGGTGGATGGATGGATGGATGTGGATGGATGGATGGATGGATGGATGGATGGGTGGTGGGTGGGTGGATGGATGGGTGGATAGATGCTTGGCTCGGGGCTGTGCAGATGACTGTGGGCCAGAATGCTTGTGCAGAAACACGAGGACCTGAGTGCATCTTCTCAGCACCCATGTAGAACCCTGTGCCCGACTCTAGGTGCACCTGTCACCCCAGCACTGGGGAGGGCGGAGACAGTAGCATCTCTGGGGCTCTCTGGAGGCAGAACTAGTGCCAGGGGTTCTCCCTAAGGGAGTAAGGTGACATGTGATAGAACCGGTCAGCTAATGTTCTCCTCTGGCTTCCATGCACGAATAGGCCTTCATATCTACACACCCGCACAGATACAAACACACATACCACATATACACTTTCATGTACACATTCACACACACACACACACACACACACACACACACACACACAGATACCAAAAAGAAAGGAAAGAAAGAAAGAAGAGTTTGATAGAAGGGAAATGAAATTAGTACATTCAAGGTCAGAGGGTTGATTGAAGAACATGACGGTGGACGGCAATGGGATGGGACATTCGACAGCATGGGATGACAGAAACCCAGAACTCCAACACTCAAGAGAGTTCCAGTCTGGAGGCACAAGCCAATGGAGCCAGCACAGACATTCCTCTTTCTTGCAGGCATAGCTGGCATCCCCTTTCCTTCTCTGGCTCCACCTATCACCCTGCTGGTGGATGGGAGGCAGCAGATGCTGGTGGTCTGCTTGGTCCTTGATGCGGCACCCCCTGGCCTTGACAGCCCTGTCTGGTTCTCAGCTGGCAACGGCACTGCACTAGATGCCTTCACCTATGGGCCCTCCCCAGCACCGGATGGCACCTGGACCAGCCTAGCCCAGCTCTCCCTGCCCTCTGAAGAGCTGGAAGCCTGGGAGCCCTTGGTCTGCCATGCCAGGCCTGGGGCGGGGGGCCAGAGCCGGAGCACGCTCCCCCTCCAGCTGTCAGGTAGGAATGCAGCCTGGGTTCCAGGCATGAGGCATGAACGACATGTAAGGGTAGACCCTGGCTCCTGGTAGAGTGGTTTTGAGGCCATGATTCCTGGGACTGACAGCTGGGATAAATGGTTCAGGTTTTCTCTTAAACCTGTAATCCCAGAATGTGAGAAGTAGAGACAGGAAGATCAAGGCTATCCTTGACTACAGGTGAGTTCAAGGCCTGCTTGGGCTCCATGAAGCTTTAAAAAAACAAAAACAAAAGCAAATCCAGGCTTAGATGTGTGATTGCTAAGAAATATTAATAACTTTTAATGGCTTATTCATAGGTACATATATATGTGTTTTATATAATAATTTTTATAAGCAGTTCATATACACATAAACAAACCCTAAACAACCAAACAATAATTAAAGAATAAACCCCGGACTGGAGAGATGGCTCAGTGGTTAAGAGCATTGCCTGCTCTTCCAAAGGTCCTGAGTTCAATTCCCGGCAACCACATGGTGGCTCACAACCATCTGTAAAGAGGTCTGTTGCCCTCTTCTGGCCTGCAGACATGCACGCAGACAG